CACACGTGTAGGAGGTCACATGCTTATTTGAGTCGGTCATTCTGTTGTACTTAGGAATCTCGGGCATGCAGAACTTCTTAGGGATCGGCTTTGCAGCCGCGCTCGGAGGAAAAGCTTTTTGAACGAACTTCTTGGAATCCAGGCCTTTCAATATCGGCGGTGCTCCTGGGATTTGGTCAACCCTGGAATTGTAGGTTTCCACCTTTTTGTCATTAGCTTCCATTTTATCTTCCCCTAATTCTATCTGTTTTGTCATTTCCTCTAGCATCTTTATGATCTTGGGGTTTGTCCCCGATTTACTTTCATTCGGCCTCTCTGTGACCGGTTCATTTATGCAGGTGGCTTCCCGAGATGGATCGGGCTCAATTCTGCTCGGCGCACGATTTTGATTTTGCAACTGAGCTATCGCCGCCTGCTGAGTCTTCATAACGTTATACTCAATTTTTACCTACACTCAAGGTAGCCTGTAGGCTTAGTAGTCGAGTGAGTGATTCGAACTTGAAGTAATGTAGCCCGTAGGCATAGTAGTCAAGTGAGTGCTTCGAACTCGAAGTAATATAGCCAGTAGGCTTAGTAGTCAAGTGAGTGATTCGAACTCGAAGTAATGTAGCCCGTAGTCTTAGTAGTCGAGTGAGTGATTCGAACTCGAGGTAATGTAGCCCATAGGCTTAGTAGTCGAGTGAGTGATTCGAACTCGAAGTAATGTAGCCCATAGGCTTAGTAGTCGAGTGAGTGATTCAAACTCGAAGTAATGTAGCCCGTAGGCTTAGTAGTCGAGTGAGTGATTCGAACTCGAAGTATTGTAGCTCGTAGGCTTAGTGGCCTAGTGAGTGATTCGAACTCGAAGTTATGAAGCTCGTAGGCTTAGTAATCGAGTGAGTGATTCGAACTCGAAGTAATGTAGCCCGTAGGCTTAGTAGTTGAGTGAGTGATTCGAACTCGAAATAATGTAGCCTATAGGCTTAGTAGTCGAGTAAGTGATTCGAACTCGAAGTAAGGTAGCCCGTAGGCTTAGTAGTCGAGTGAGTGATTCGAACTCGAAGTAATGTAGCCCATAGGCTTAGTAGTCGAGTGAGTGATTCGAACTCAAAGTAAAATGTATCCCGTAGGCTTAGTAGATAGTCCCCGAATGAGAATGGTTGCTTGAACTTGTTGATTTTTCGGTTAGCAGTCCCCGATTCATGGGGTAATGGTCGGCCCTTAAACTTGTTTGCATAATAGATCTCGAAATAGAGGAATTTTTCTTGGATATAAGATATCGGTAAAGAAGAAATATTTCTTTGTAAGTCGTTATACATGTGTTCATGTTTTGTGTCAGGGCTCGGGCCAACTATATGGGCATGGCTTGTTTGACCATTTGGCCTTTATAATTTTTCCTGTCGAGACCCTGTTGCCATGAAATAACGAAGTAAATTCATTTGCATCGTACTTGATGATTATCGTTGATATGTTCGATGACAATGGTATGCCCCCCAATATTCGAGATTGATTGTAAGGAGGCCTCGAATACTGTTGAATTGTTCTGAGTTAGAACGATCAATGGTTGCCTCATTACAAAACCTTGCCGAAAAACCCATTTGGGACAAAACCGGTCTAAGGGAAAGAGAGTGCAACACATGCTTTCAGACCTAAGGCTTCGTGCTGAATAATCCATCTTTGTTCCTGATCGAATTCATTAACCTTTGTCTTTGGTTGAACACCTGCAAGGGTTAGTTTTGAAATATAATTGAACAAGGGAGGGGGGGTCGTACCTTAGAAGTAGTATCGTTTTAGCCGTTTATCACACCAAGCTCGTAAGATTTCCATTATACGACCAGTATCGATCTTTGATCGATCTCTGTTCTCTGTTGGCAGTCCTTTTAATAACGGACCTAGAACCCAACTTGTCATCTTCGATTCTTATTTTGGATTTATATCGATTATACGCATCGGCCCAAGTAATAGCTGGGTACTCGATCAGGTTATGCTTCAGCCGCCATGAAGCCATCGAGCTTCGTTCGTTTAGACCTTGAGTGAAAGCTTGAACAGCCCAATCGTCCGTGACTGGTGGTAGATCCATTCGTTCCATTTGAAAATGAGATACGAACTCTCTCAACATTTCGTTATCCTTTTGTCTTACCTTGAACAGGTCCGGCTTCCTGGTCTCGACCTTTATGGCCCAAGCGTGCGCTTTTACGAAGGAATCTACAAGCATAGCAAAAGAATCGATAGAATTAGATGGTAAATTATGATACCGTGACATTGCTCCGTTTGACAGGGTTTCACCGAATTTCTTCAATAACACGGATTCGATTTCATCGTCCTCTAGGTCGTTCCCTTTAATGGAACATGTGTAAGAGGTGACATGTTCGTTGGGGTCAGTCATTCCGTTATACTTAGGAATCTCGAGCATGCGGAATTTCTTTGGGATCGGTTTGGGAGCCGCGCTTGGGGGGAAAGGCCTTTGTACGAATTTTTTGGAATCTAAGCTCTTCAATATCGGGGGTGCCCCCGGGATCAGATCAACCCTGGAGTTGTATGTTTCCATCTTTTTTTTGTTTTCTTCGATCCTTTTTTCTCCTGATTCTATTCGTTTTGTCAGTTCTTCGAACATCTTAACAATTTCGGGATTAATCCCCGATTCTTGCTCATTTGACCTTACTACAACTGGCTCCATTCTGTGGGTGATTTCTCGGGGTGGGCTGGGCTCCGGTCTGCTCGGTACTTGTGTCTGACTCTGCAACTGAGCTATCTCTACCTGTTGAGCTTGCAATATTTCGAAAATCATACGCAAGTTGATTCTGTTTTCCTCAATATTATGGGTGTCTCGAGGTGCAGATCGAGTACCACCATGAATGCTATTTTCAGGCTCAGAACGATGGTTTTCCTCAATAGCCATATGCGAATTATCGTCTAATGGTACTTCGACTCGGGCCCCAACGGCATCGACAAGCGGCCTTTCGGCCTTAGTTGTCAAGCTGTTGTTTTCTCCTTGAAGTCCAGCTTCGTTGTCGATAGGTAAGGTCATTAATTGACACTTCATTATTGCTAATTCGAAATCAAAGATACTTTCAACAACAAGTGCAAGAGGGTGCGTTTAGCAGATTCGTACCGAATAACCACTGTTATCCTTAGCCCCACGGTGGGCGCCAAACTGTTTACCCGAAAAAACGGATAGAGTTGAATTTGTACGTAGTTCTAAGGATACGTGGTATAACTTAACACAAATCGTAAGGATAAATAGAAATTATCAAATACGGATTGTAAAGAATGAAAAATACACAAGGTTGGAAAGAAGATGATTTAAGGACTAAGCAAGATGAATCAATCTATGAAGCCAAAAAGAATAATCCTTTGATATAGGAGTGTATGGTATTTTTGTTACAATATAAGATAAAAAACTGCCCTTTACAGAAATGTAGCTATCCTCTTTATAGTGGAGGATCCTACCTTAGATATAATTAAAAATACATAGTGGGGAACCCATGAAAAATTAGTTTTTCCATAATTCCCGCCGAGATTCTCTCCCTTAGTGCAGTTGCAACGACTCTTGTCTGTGAGCTCGAGCTTGATCGGACTCGGTGATGGTCAGTATTGTTTTTAGAGCTCGATGCGGACTTGAGCTCGATGCCGACTCGGGATCTGGTAATGACTCGGGCTCGGTATCGGTTGGCCTTTGCCCCTTAAGCTCGATTCTATAACATCTCATCATAGTTCGATTCGGACCCGAGCTCGATAATGACTTCGAACTCGGTGTTTGACCTATACCTGAAATCTGAAGCTCGTTCGTACCATCTTCGGAACCCATCTCGATTTTACGAAGTTTTTCTTTAGTCCATTATGATCCCATCTCGATCAATCGTACGAAGGCCGAAATCAATTTCGACCATATACAGTATCACATGTATAACGGGAAGCTCCGAATAGAAGAAGAAATTTCAACACTTCCCGAATTTGGAAATAGGGAGGCGAAGGTATACAGCCATCGACAGTAAAACAGTAGAGAGGACCCAAAACACCGAGATTCCAGAGTTCGGTACGAGCCCTATTCAGGGCCCCTCAAATGAACGGTTGGTCGGAGTTGGACGAATCTTCACCAAAGGTAGACTTTGTTTTTTGCTGACCCGTTTCAAAACTTTTTGCAGTCCAAATTTCGTAAACACGAGCTGAAACCACATTTTTTTTTAGTTGAGTTAAATCAATTATTAGAATTAATTGGTCTTCAAATTGTCCATTTCAAAATATCAAAACCCTTGATTAACTTTTGCAAGGCTATTTGGAGGTTTTGCCACCATTCCTATTTTTCAAAATTTGGTTCGTCTAATGGTGCTAGTCCTAAAGTAAAAATAGCACGGGCTAGTCAGTTTTTGAACTGGTAAAATTAAAAATAGTCATCGTTTGTAAAGTCATTGAAAAATAGCTTTTATTTTGCTGCAACACGGACCGGTCCAGCATAATATACTGGAGATTGGTGCACCTGTGTATGAACTTCCAGCATATTATGCTGGAACTCCAACACGCGGAAAGTTCCAGCATAATATACTGGAGATTGGTGCACCTGTGTATGAACTTCCAGCATATTATGCTGGAACTCCAACACGCGGAAAGTTCCAGCATAATATACTGGAGATTGGAGCACCTGTGTATTAACTTCCAGCATATTATGCTGGACCGGTATATTATACTGGAACTCCTGTATATTATGTTGGAATATTTTTCAAATTTTGAACAGTGTTTTCGTTCAGATTTATCTTTACATGAAAAGTGGCTAAATTTCGATTACTTTTGAAACTGTGGCTATTTTTCAATTACCGCTTGTAAATTTGGCTATTTTTGAATTTCTCCCGGTTTAGTTTGTGGGCTGCAAATATGTGATGAACAAGGCCCAACACACAACTTTGCTCCTTGGACCTTTGTGAATTATTTTAAAAAGTTTTAACCGTTGTTAACGTTAAAGCCAAAAATTACAGATTTCTAGGATAGCAAACCTTTGGCTGCTTTATTCTAACGCCTAGTTTTCTTGCTTCACCCACGTCTCCCACCTTACCTCGTCACTATATACAAAGAATCTGCTATATAATTCTAACCTCATTCCTTCCTTCCACTTCTCTTCAAAATACCAGCAAAGAATCTGTTTAAAATCAAAGAAAAACTTTTTTGAGCTTATTCACATCAAAATGGATGGTTTTTCAAGAAATGTGCTTTCTTCTTCTCTAGTAGCTGTTCTCTTCTTCTTCCTCCTCTTGAGCTTCTCAGAAGCCAGAGACCATTTGGTAGGGGGGAAAACTGATTCTTGGAAAATCCCATCTTCAGAATCAGATTCCCTCAATCGATGGGCTGAAAAATCTCGCTTCCTCATTGGAGATTCTCTTGGTATATTATAAATCTGAATTTATCTACAAATTTTCACACTGGGGGGTTAATCGAATCTCCTTTTTCTAAAAATTTTACTATCTAGATAGGGTAAAAATAAAATTTTATGTATATGTAAGAGATATTGAATCCCCTAGATATAAGAAAAGTATCTAGTTGAATGACATATGTGACTTTAGTGCTTCAATTGTTCAAATTCTAAATGTAGTATTTCTTATGTTATTTTGAATTCCTTAGAACTCGACTTTTAATTAACAAAATCACTTGAAACTACAAAAAAATAATGTTCTCTTTTTTGTGTACATATAGTGAATATTTCTTGATATTGTTACATCTGATTAATTTTTTTATATACTTTTTATCTTTTGGCAGTGTGGAAGTATGATGGGAAAAAAGACTCAGTTTTACAAGTGAACAAGAGGGATTATGTGACATGCAACAGTTCAAGTCCAATAGCAGTGCACAATGATGGGAATACAAAGATAGAGCTAACAAATTCAGGAGCTTACTATTTCATAAGTGGAGCAAAAGGGCATTGTGAGCAAGGCCAGAAACTGATAGTAGTGACCTTATCTGAGAACAACATGAGGAGATTCATGGGTGCACCTGCACCTTCTCCGGTCGAATTTGAAGGTCCAGCTATGGCTCCTACTAGCAATGCTATTAGCTTGAAGGCTAGCTTGGTTATAGCTTTTGGGGTTTTAATGGGGTTTTTTATTTGATGTGAGAGAGAGTTTTGAAGTGATTTTCATGGTAATTTGATTGATAGATAGATAGTCAAATGGTGAGAGGGAAAAGGAGGAAGATGGGGTTCTTAGTCTTTTTCTTTTGGTCAATATTCTTTGATTCAATTTGTTCTTTACTTTTCATTAAGTTATTTCAAGCTTTATTTTATTGTTTGTTCTTTATGGTAAATTGAACTTTTATTTCCGTCCATTCATTAAGTTTTTTATTTATTCCAGTTAATATCCTTGGATGAAAAAACTAATCAAGTGTCATATGCTGGAAACTGAAGCTCGTCTGTGTTCATTTTGAATACAAAATTTGAGAGCAGCATAGTTTTTTCTGTCCAAAAAGCAAATAAGGGCACAAACTGTTTTGCCTGTAAAACTAGAACAAACAAAGGAAAAAGAAAACTGTTTTTTAATGCCAATGCTCTTTTTTTTAGAGTTAAATTCCTTTTACAACCCACATTGGTTTCCTACATCCACAGTGTGTGTGTGATANGTGGGGGTGGAGGGTGATTTTGATTTAGGCCACAACCTCAAAAACAGGAGATTGTGGAAGACAATTCAAAAACATATTTCTGGACAAATGAACAACTCTTTCCTTACTCGACTTGCCAACAATCAATTCAAACTAGTAACCAAGTTCCGTACACGTCCAGGATTTTAGGAAAAGGGAAAACTCAAATGACATCTAATGAATGAGCGCGGGCTGCAACAGTGGGCACAATTGGAATTGCGTAGGCAGAATATACATAACCTCGCAAGTGCCGACTGCGGCTGATGCATTGAATGATTTTCACTTGGAAGAAGAAACTTCTACTTCAAAGTCCAACGACGGAAAGGACAAAGCGAGGGAGTGGAAGAAAAATGAAAATAACAATACTAATGAAGACAAGGGGAAGGGAAAGCAAGGAGGCTGGAACTTCCAAGAGCAAAGAGAAAGGTAGATTCAGTGGCTGTTTCCTTTATGATGGGTGCGCCCCATGCTCATGATTTAGTACCATACTCTATGATTTATTACTCATACTACATGGCGAAACATCGCCAAAATGAAGATTTCTGTGCAAGCAGTATTTTAAATTACATTGCACTTACTATTGAATCTGTTTTGCAGACTGTTGGGCATTTGTTTCTGGGTATGTGTAATTAGCATTAACAGTAGTGCAGGGTTCAATAGATGCATCTAGAAAACAAGCGGGAGATAGATTCCAATAAGTCTAGATTCAATATAAAACCTTTCATTGATGCATAAACAAGGACTAAATTCCTAAGCAGAGAGAAGCAACACAAGAAGCAAGATGAAGTCCAAACAGAAGGTTGATGTGAGATGAGTATAAAGAACCAGCCAATCATTTGCTCCTTTTAGCTTTACTGTGTTTACTACAACAAAAGAAAGTCACAGCAAACAAAGGGAAAATCTAAATTGGCAGCTCAAATAATTATAAATGTGTAATACATTCCTCAAAGTCAAACTTAATCGGTAATGGTTAGTAGAACATTACTGTAAAGTTCATAAACAAAACTGGAGCTTCTTTCTGGGAACTCTATTATTTCATTCCTTCACTTAGTCCTGCTGGCATTCCTAAGCTCTGAGCAAGATTGTTCATTCTCTCCTTCATGGCCTGCAATTCAAGACATTATAATTCATGTGTCAAATCGTAGAATCAGGAAAGCGGATACCAGATGATCAAAGGCAACCATACGACAGAGCTGGTTTTGTAGTTTCTCACCAGTACACTTTTCTGGTGTGCGTCCTTGTAGGCCTCTGTTACTAAGAGAGAGAGTTTCTGCATTCAATCAGTGTACAGCAAGCTCAATAAGAACAAGACCAACAAGTTTCATAGGCCACAAAATTTTAACTTAACAGAGTTAGTTTTGACCAGCCCGAATCTTATTTCCTTCCTTTCATTTGATTTGTGGGAAGATGTTACAGAAAGCTTCCGTCTGAAGTAGAATATGATTATTCATACTGGTCGGTTTATTGACAAAACATTCTCCCGAGTAAATAGATAATTTTAAACTAAGTACCTGTTACCTATCCTCTGCTTCTCAGACTCCTTGTTATCACCATTATCAAGGTCCTTCTTGTATGCCAATGTTTATTTCTTTCCTTAATTACTACTCCATATATTTATCTTTGCATGAGTTTTATGGTTCTACACCAATTTGATTTTACAGAACACACCCTGGAGTTCGAACTTCAAGAGTTTTTTTGTGTCTCCAAGTGCCCACATTGATCCTTTAAATTCTCTCTGCGATTGAGACACCAAAAGGAAGTGCAAGGAAGTGCTTGGTACGTATTACAAAAGCATCCCACTTGTATTGTGTAACATAGGAGTATGACAGGAACATGGCCTAAGATTTGGTATTTGTGACATGAGTGGTTGAGCGTAATTTGTTTTGGGTGAAAAGCTACTCCAGCCATTTATTACCCTCAGTTCAGTATTCAATAGATTCAGTTATAAATTGGTTTAGCAAGTCAATGGATTCAGTCTTCAATTCGTTCAGCAAACCGTTAATGGAAATAACGCGCAACAATCTTATTCAAAACGTTTAAATCTCAATGCAAAATCACAACTTGTGTAAAAACAAACAGATAAAAAAGCTAACATTTGATTGGCCAGCCACCTTCCACGAGTGGTTGCCAGCTTCCAGCAGCCATTGGATTAGCCATAGGGTTTCCACTAATTTTGCCACCTCTAGTGCTCAAAACTACTAGTCACAGGCAATAGATTTATTAGTTATATCAAGAGTTTTGGAGTAGCATGGTCAGTGGAGATTCACATAATCGACCCTAACTTGCTTGGGATTGAGGCGCAGTTATTGCTGTTGTATCAAGAGTTTTCAAAATGATTCCAGAACAATATTAAAGGCGTCTAAGGTGAAAAAGGAGGAAGTGATTAAAATGCTCCACATTTACTTGAATCAAGGAATTAATAGTATCAGGAAATATGCTCGCAATATTACTTGTATGATTATTCAGTATTGATCTTTCATCGCTAGAAGTAAGAAAAACATTATAAGGCATCTATTGATAGGTTTGATTGTGCAACAGCTGCCAAGTCTTTAATTTAGAATCAATATAAAGTAAGCAACTGTTAATACTTGCCCATTCTCAAAAAAAATTAAATACAATAAAGTAAGAAACTGTTTACAGTATGTACATATGATAGGAGCAGAAAGCCTAGTCATACAACCTGATGTGCACTCAATGCACTATAGCAGCTTCATGCAGGTGCAAATAGGTCATAAATTATGATTATAAAACGGTGATGAAGTTGTAAGATAGAACATATAAACTTACTTCCGGTCCCAAGTCCATTGCAGCCTCAGTAATTTCAATGCGCACTGGCTGTTGGTTACCAGAAAGCGTTGCCTACAGAACAGCCCACATCAATATGTAAGCAGTCACAAGACATCAAAGAGAAAAATCATTTCAAGCACCATTTTTTACTCTTTGCGGGTGTATTGGTGTCCAAATGAGAGAAATGTGGAGGGATAAGATGAGAAACAAAAAGCTATTTTTGGGAAAATCAACCAATACCTTTATAAGCTCACCTTCACAATAGCCATCGAACTCTGCACTGTAAAGTAAACAGAAAATTAACACATATTCTTAGAGCAAAGAGTAATGGAAGAGAGGCTGAAAATCATAAAATGGGTACGGAAAAATTTATCAGGAGCACCTACACTGCAAGTTCTTTTTGCACACGAACTGCCTCGACTTGAACAACCATTTGTGCCTTCTTTACTGTTTCATATAGATTTTGCATGTTTCCAAGTATTCCAGCCTGGATTCAAGTCAGATCGATCATGACAAAGAAACATGATGATTTTGATATCACCTGAGACCACTAATTACCAGACTACGCTTAGTCTTTGAAGGAAAGTGACTATACATGAGCAGGAAGCTAGATACAAAAACATAAGAACAGAAAAATCTACCAACGGTCAGTAACTAGCATACATTCCGCAGGAATGTGATATAGAGATAGTGGAGAGACTGTACATAACTGCTACATGAAGTAACATCTTTCAAATGCATGAAATCCATGTAGAAGTAAAGAGATATATAAGCTATGCCCAAAACTATGAAAGAGTGGAGGCATGGGAACACTTATGAATAGAGAAGGACTCTCCCTGCTAAATGGAGCACCTTTTTCCTCATTCTCGTCAAGCTTTGCAGCAAGTATTCTTCTGAGTATTAAATACAATAAAGTAGTAGACAGTAGTAGTATTGGGGAACACTTATGTTTAAGTTAATTTATAAGATATCCTTTTGAGTAAATTGAAGTATCATCTCTAATTATGTACCATGGAAATTTCTGTGTAAGTAAATTCGAGAGATATTCTCTAGAGTAAATTGGAGTGTCATCTCTAATTTTGTACTCTCTGGTTTACATTTCTGATATAGTGGAATTCCTCCTCCTCGTTGCTGGACGTAAGCATTATTGGAGAACCATATAATCTATAAGTCCCTATCTATCTGCTATTGGTGTCATTATCAAATTTTGTTGTCCCCTTCAAATCAAAAGTACAAGTTCCTTCTAACACTACTTAAGGCCTTCTTAAGTATTCTCAAGTAGAAATGACTGCAACTTATAATAAGTATTCAATTTTAGCATTGAAGTCCTGGATGATGCTGTTTAGCATTTTTGGTGAATCATGCACAACTCTTTTCAGGGCATCATCGATTTGCACTTTGCTCTAACAAGAGAGAGTAAACTCTCAACATGTCCGCAATGCTTGTTGTCTATGATTATCCCGCTTAAGAATTTTTCGTTGTGCTCTTATTATTTTGATAATGAAATCTTACACTTACTTCAAAGTAATGCTTCAAAGATTGATGAGTTTGCTAGCATTATTTTGTTAATATCATATTTTGCGGACATCTTGTCCTCCCCATTGCCACGTTCTTTTGTTCCTCACTGAAAAGTATCAAACTTGAACAAGATCAGTCAAAGCAAGCCGAAATCAACTTGAATCTGAACACTCGGCGAACAGTTTGCCATTTCATTTTTGTCCCAGGAAACTTTGGATTGTTTTCCAGCTCTGTATCATCAGAATCTATCATAAACTGATACTTGAAGGTGATACATATTATACAATGAACATAACGAATCAGTTTACCATTTTATGCTTGTCACTTAATGATCTACACAGCTTAACTCGAAACAAAACCTACAGCATCCTTCATTCCATCAGCCTCAGCCCATTGTACTATCCTCAGCACATGCACTTTCTAACCTATTTCAGCCTATGGTAATCTGTAACCCCCCCCCCCCC